AGAAGGAGAGGGAGGAATGGGAATAGAGGAAGAGGAAGGGGGAAGAGGAAGTGGAAGTGGAAGAGAATTAATATTAAAAATGGCTATTTATTTAAATGAAATTGAAAAAAGATTTTTATTTTTAGAAAAATTAAAAGAAATTAATTTTGAAATTTTTAATATTTATTTTAAAGAAGCTAATTTTAAAAAATTGAAAGAAAATTGGGAAAAAATTAAAAATAAAAATTTAAAAGAAGAAGAAAGAGAAAAAGAATTAAATAATTTATTAATTAAATTATTAAAAATTAATAAAATAAATAAAGAAAAATTATTTTTAAATAAAATCTGTGAATTTTTTATTGAAAAAAATAATTTTAATTTTGGAGAAAATAAAAGAAAATTTATTCAAAAAATATTTAATTTAAATAATAAAGAAGAAATTGAAGAATTTTTTGAAATAAAAATTAAAAGAGGAATTGAAAATATTAAACAAATTAATGAACAAATTAATTTAGGTCGGAGGGTTTTTTTAATTTAAAAATTTTAAATAAAAATTGTTTTAAAAATAAATTGTAAAATAGTTAACATTTAATTATCTATTCAAAATTTAATTTCTCGATTAATTTTAATTCAGACCTTTCGGACAGTTAACCTAAACAAAATTTATTTGAATAAGCTAAGGAGCCCTAGAGTTTGATGAACTACGAGAGAGAGAGTGAATATACCTTAAAATAATTTAAATATTTTAATTACCAAAAAGTTAAATTAACATAATATTCATAAATATTCAGATAAAAAAGATGAGAATAATTATTTAAATCCATAAGGATTCCAATTACTTTCATTTAATCAGTCAGAATTAATTAATTCTCCCAAAAATACACAAGAAGAAAATTTATTAGAAAATAATAATTTAATGGAAATTGTGTTAAATAAACAATTAAATACACAAATATTAATAGATAAATATTTGTTAAATATTAAAAAAGAAAATAATCCAATAGAAATTTTTAAAAATATTTTTAATTTATGGAAAGAAAATAATAATAATTATTATTTTAAATTATTAATTGCTAGTCCATATATTAATAATTTTTGGAAAGGAGGGGAAGGGGGAGGGGCACATGTTAATGGAATTATTATTATTTTAGAGGAAATTATTGATAAAAGAAAAGATAATGATAATAATATTCAAAATATTTTTATTGAAAATAATATAAATTCATTTTGTAGACCCCCGTTTATATTTAATTGCAAAGATAATTCTTTTTATTGCCATCTTTGCAAGGTAAATCTAAATATTAATTTTAAAAAGAAAAACTAGGAATCAAGGAGTAGTGTAGGATAAATAGAGAAATGGGAAAATTCCTTCCCCTAGTAAAATCACTTCCCTATTCCAAAATAAAGGAGTAAATTTAGAAGGCTCTCACAACATAAGTATTATTTAAAATGATTTTTTCTTCTTTAGAGAAAATTTTAATAGTCATCCGTAAACCGTCTTTACGGAGTCAAAGTATTGTTTCCAGACGGTTTTATGTAGGTATAAGTGATAATCAACCACACCTAATTTATTCTTATTTTTTAACAAAATTAAAAAAATAAAAATATTTTTAATAGAAAAAATTAATTAAAAATCTTCAATATTTCGAATCAAATAATTTAATTAATTTCCAAATTGGAGAAGTTGAATTTGATATTAGTTTAATTATTACAGACCAAAAAATAATGATAACAGAAAATATAAATAAATGGGCAGAAAATATTGAAAGAAAATGTTTAAAAATAATTGAAAAAGGAAAAAATGATAGTAAAATTAATGAACAAAAAGAAATAATTTATAAAATATCTCTTATAATTACATATAAATATTTAGAAAATTTAATTGAAAAAAGAGATGAAAAATTTAAAGAAAATTATTTTAAAGGATTTATTTATTTAAAAAATTGGGCTAAAGGTTTTTTTAAAGGAAAATAATTTTTAAAAAATTATTTTTTAAAGAGAATTGTATTTATGGAAATAAATTTGGGTTTTTGGATGGAACAACAATTTCTTTAATGATTATGAAAGTATTGTTGCTATATCCAGACACGAATTTTGTTGAATTAATTGAAAGATTCTTTTTGACATATTCTACTTGGTTAGGGTATTTAATTTTATGAAAATTTAAATTATTATCAGAGGCGGGGAGGGACAGGAGTTTAGGGAATTGTAACTAGCCCAATTAACAGCTTAGATATTCTAAAATAATTCCAGAAATAGGAGGAAATAATGATGAAAATCAGGAGGCGTAAATCAGAATTATTACCCACATTCCATCCTTTTAAGTTAATCAGAGACATACTGCCGATTATTATGACCCATAATTCTAAAGACTGTTGTAGTCTGAAAATTAGTTTTAAAAATTCCACCAAAAATATCTTTTGTATCAAATTTAAAATAAATTAAAGGAATTGGAAAACACCGATAAGAATAAAAACACCAAAAGAGATTGTAAATGAAAAACAAAAAAATCAACAAGAAATAACAGTTTATAGCCCAACATTTTCAGAAAATTCTCTTACTTTTAAAATAACAAAATTAAATGCTAAAATAATTAAAAATGAATTTTTGGATGGTAAATATTAAAAATAAAATTAATTAATTATTTTTAAATTTAAATTAAAGGTTTTTATGAAATAAATGAATTAATACAAAATAATAAACAATTAAATAATTTTGGAGAAATAATTGAAGGAAATAAATTTATTTCCAAGGTTAATTTTTAATTAAAATAATTCTAATTTTATTTTAATTAGTATCAAAATTATATTATTATTTCTTGTGTTACAAACAGTCAAATTAATCAAGAGAAATTTTGTAATTTTGTTGAAAAGCAGATTAAATCGGAAATAGATGAACAAATATGTAATATTGATGAGGTATTTTTTAAATTATTAATTAAAAAGCTGGATATTCTAATTGTGTTTGCATTTGCAAAAATACATAACATGAATTTAAAAATTATCAATATTTGGGTTGTCCATATGTACATATGGGGGTGACATAGTCGGTTATTGCTTCGGTCATGGCTTATTCCATATTGTTTCTATTCCAAGGAATTTTCCCACAACATAAAGCTATGTCTCAAACAAAATTTTATTTCCTCCCTTTGAAGAATATTAAATAAAAAATTTTAAATTTAGGTAGATTACTGCCACTTTGGATTAAAAACAGAAAATTGTGGATTAAAGTTTCCTAAAATGTAAGAAAGAATTTTTAATAATGAATATAAGAAAATATTTTAGAAATCAACTTTGTACTTCTTGGATTGTTGGAATTAAATTAAAATCTTTATTAAATAATTTAATTAATTTTAAAGAAAAATATAAATTAATTAGAAAAAATATTTTTCAAAATTTTATTTTAGAAAATGAAAATGGGGAAATTTTAAGAAAAAAGAAAAAATTGTCAATTTTTGATGTTTCTGGTAGTGTATTAAAAAAAGGTACTAAAATTTTAAAAAAATATTATTAAAATTATTAAAAAAAAATTTTTTTTGATAGAATTTTCTAAAGGATTCGTTTTGACATAATTTAGAGAAAAATTGAAAGTAATTGTTAAAATTAATTGAGGGATTATTTTAAATAAAATATTTTAAATAATATTTAAAATTTATTGTTTTCGATTTTTTTATATTTTTAATAAAAATCTTAAAGCAACCGCAAGAAAATTTTTCTTTATTTTTAATTTAATGTTTGTGATAAATAATGTGTGTGTGCAGTTTGACTGTAAAATTCCGTTTCGGATTTTTACATCATTAAGCCAGAACATTACAAAGTTTACACCTACGGTACGGTCCGCAAAAAATAGTTAGGGAACGGAAAAAGCACTAAATCAATTTTAAAATTTCTGTTTTTTGATTTTGTTAAAAAAAATTTTTTTTATTTTTTCAAATTTATTAGTTGAACTTTCATCAAATTGAAAATATCTTTCTTGTTTAGCTTTTTAATTTTCAGATAAAAAGTTATAAAAACGTATTTTCCTACACTAGAAATTCACGAATCTGGTGATTTCAGAAGAAGTCAGTAAGGTGATATGGGCAGTGAGGTGATTTGGGCAGTAAACGTTTTTAAAAAAATTTTCCCTTGCGAAAGAAATTTGAGTAACAAAAAATAATTATTCGGATTTCGGTAATAAATAAATTAATTTTTTTAAACAAATAAAATAACGAAAAGAGATAGCTAAACATGGAATAGCCGTGGTAATTAAAAGAATATGCATACTATGTACCTATTTAGATGGGATTTTTCGAGTATTAATTAATTATCTCAATTTCAATCAATTATCTTTTCATTAAACAAATATTTATTTTAAAAATTTTATTGGTAAATACAAAACAAGAATTGGCACTCACTATTTTGGGTGAGGGGAAAACAAGTAATTCCAACACGGAACAGACAAAAGCGGTCGGAAAGAACACAGAATAGTTTTAAAATCAGAATTTTAAGATTTTTTAAAATTTTTGATGTTAAAAAATATTCTGCTTTTTAAAATACAAAAATTATTTATTTGTTCCGTGTTTTAGTAGGACTTGGCAAAAAATGACAGGTTTTAACCTGCAAAAAATGATAAAAAGGGAGCCAGACATATGTATCGGGACGGACAGAATTTAAGATGATTTTTTAGATTCTTCACTTATTGTCAAGGGATTAACAGAAATATCAAGGGATTTCGTGGATTAAGATGGATATCGGGATATCAAAAAAATTTAGGAAAGCTATCGAAGTTTGTAAGGCTTAAGAGGGATTAAGAGGTAACACTCAATAACAAGAAAAAAATCTCAAAAAATCGTCCTTGATCAATAAAAAAATTTTTTGAGATCTCCATCCCGAAATCTGTCAGGAAATGCCCATCCCGAAGTGTCTACCGGCCGATAAAAATAAATTTAACAAAAAATAATTTAATTGGAAAGTCAAGGAAAACCAAAAATCTTTAAAATTATTTATTTCTCCGACAAATCGAAAATTTCATTTTCTCAAATTCTACACCCTCTTTATTCTGATCATAACTCTAAGACCCCAAAAAAAATCTTCACATTCTTCACTGTAAAATGAGAATCTCACTTCTGGATTGAAAATATTGGCTATTTGGTATTTTGTTGATTTTACTTTATCAGATTGTTTAATTTCCGCATCTTCTGCTTTCTCGTTTAATTTAAGATTTGTGTTATTATTGAAATTAAAAATAATAGAAGAGACCATGCTTGAACAGTTTCTAGATGTTGCTATATACTTAAAATTTAACGGTAATAGTTTGGCTGACCATCCCCCTTTTTTCCCTGTCCATTTTGAACTTTTTTGCTTGTCATTCGAATGAACTCTGAGCTGGGCAGAATGATACTAAAATCGATTAGATTTGGTGATTCTATACAAAATTAAGAAGCAAAATTCTCGTTGGAAAAGTTTTTTGCGTTGTTAATTTAAATCAGATTACGTTGATCTTATTTTCAACCGAGTCAGCTTGAATAGCACTTTTGAATGACATATAAATTACTAGGGGTGCCAATTATATGGATATAAAATCGAAAAATATGGACATAAAATATGGATATAAAATCCTGAAATATGGATATAAATATGGAAATAAACACTAAATATGGATATAAAATCCCAAAATATGGACAAAAAAATAGCGAAAAGATATTTTGAAAATCAGTATTTTATGCAGAAAACAATAATTTTGCCTTTAAATTTGCATTTTAAGAGCATTCTAAAAGATTTTACGGTTTTAAAATTTTTGTTAAAATTTTTTTGAAAATAAATTTTTCCGAAAAATTTTCGAAAAAATTTTTTGATAAAAAATTTCCAAAATTTTGAAAATTTTCACCAATTTTTACTAAAATTTAACAAAAAAGGAGAAATATTGATATAAAATATGGATATAAAGGCTAAATATGGAAGAAATATGGAAAATATGGGCATAATGCCAAAATATGGAAAAATATGGAAAATATGGATTATAAAGACCATTATAGAAACTCTAAAACAAGCCAAAAACATGTTTTTCGTGCATTTCAGAGTCATAGGAATTCAGGAAAAAAATATGGATTTCCATATAATTGGCACCCCTATAAATTACCATAAATTGAGGAAAAAATTTAAAAAAATAGAACGGTAAAGAAGGGGATGGTCAACCAAACTATTACCAATTTAACTTTTATTTTTATCATATTGGTAACTTACTTCAATAATATTTTCATAAAGTGTTGTTGAATTTAATAAATTAATCAAATTAATTTCATTAAAGTTGTCTCCCTTCGTTAAAATTTTAAATAAAATATCTTTATATTTTGCAATGTCTTCAGCTAAATAAAAATCAATTGTAAGATAGTTGCTAATTAGATGATTCAAAATAAATTTCAAGACATTTTCAATATTGCGATCCGTAAATTGCTTAAGGAATTTTTGAATATAAACTTGTTTAGCATTTCCAAATAATAATTCAATTAATTGTGGATTGAAGATAAATTTATTGAAGTAGCCACATTCAAAAGAACAATTAAATAATTTATTTAAATAATAGTAAACAATTATGATGTCGTCTTTGGTTTTAATAATGTCTGGTAGTTGAAGTAAAATATATTTTTTACTAAGTTGATCTGAAAATTTTTTTGATTAAAATTAACTTTTCGGACAGTTGTATAAAAATTCTAATGAAAATATTTTCCTAATGAAAGGCTAAAGAAAATTATTAAAAATTGAAGTCAACACAATCCGCATTTTTTTCTTTGCGCGGAACAGCGGTGCCAACAAGTTTCATAAAAATTAAAGTGATTGAGGTGGACTTGAATAAATTTAGTAAACAAAATTTAACCTTCGTCTAAACAGATAACAGTATTTTTGGAAGAAATTAGATCATGTAAATACAAAGGAATTGGAGTTTCTAGTCCATTTTTCAACTAAAAAGAAAGGAAATCTTTAAATATTTTAATTTAAATCAACCGTCTCTTCAAATTGCTCATTCAACAGAAAGTCAAAATCCTTAGCGTCAGGTTTAATTAATTTATGAGGAAGTGTTTGGAATTGATTAAATCGACCCTTAATAATAATTTTTTAATTAATTAAAAATCGTTACAATAGAGATTTTATAGAATTTTTTCCGGGCAAGTTCTCCTTCAAAATTAGTAATAAAATAATAAAAATAAAAATTTGTTTGTTTAATTGAACATAATTGTTGATGAGTGAAGTATTTTAAAATATCAAGCTTTGTCTCTGTTGATAAGGAAAGCATTCTTTGGGAATTTATTTAAGTAACAAAAATTAACTGAAAAAATGCAAAAAATAATTAAAATGTGTCTAAAAATATTAAAAATAAATTGGTAGGTTTTAACCTAAAAAATGAATGAAAATAAATTATAAGAAATATTTTTTATAAATTTCTAGAACTGACAACAGAATAGAATTGTTAGAAATTATTTGTTAATTACAATATTTAAACTATATGTTTAAGTTTAATAGAGTTAAATAATTTGATTTTTAAAATTTTTTAAGTGAATAGTATTTCTTAGGTAACAAAAACATTCTCCTATAACTAAAAATTAGCAAATTTTTCTTTTCATTCAAGCATTTTGAAACATATTTTTAAATTTCGGCATTTCTCTAAGCAAATTTTTCTGAACTTTTCCTTAAAAAATATTAAAAATAATTTAAAATAAAATATATGTATTTTACCTAAATGATTTCTTGGTAAATTCATAAAATAAAAAGCCTTTGGAATTTTATATGGAGCTAGTTTTTCTTTTAAAATTTGTTTTTCATCAGCTGTTAAATTGTATTTTTCTGTAGAAATATTTTCTTTATAAGAATCAGATGCTTCACATATAGTGACAACTGCTTCACCAAAATCAGGATGTGGAACAGCTAAATTTTAAATACCTTTACATATAGAGGGATTAAAAGATCTTTCCGTGAAACACTCCAACTGTAAGGGACTGGAACCTAAAGCTCATGTCCCGAAAAAATACTTATAAAAAGCTATTATCCCATCAGAAATTTCCTAGTCAAAATTTAAATCCAAACTATTTTGAATTTTAAAATATTAATAGATTTCCAATAGGGCATAGTGAAAGATGAAAAATTTTGGGAACTTTAAAATTTAAAAACCAAACCAATAACAGCACATTCTTTAATTCTTTCACCAAATAAACCAGTTACAATTTCTTCCACTTCAGTTGGATAAACATTCATTCCTCCACTTATAATTAAATCTTTTTGCCTTCCTTTTATCCAAACATAACCTGAAAATATAAAAAAATTATTAAATTGATGAAAAAACAAAAAATAAATGGTGAGCTATATTAGCCGTTAATATTAAATTGTCGTTTAAGAGGAGTCCGACGGTGTCAAAAAATATTTTATTACAAACCTTTATCATCCTTTTCGCCCATATCTCCGGTAATAAAATATCCATCATCAGTAAATTCTTGTTTAGTCTTTTCAGGTAAATTTAAATAACCCTTAAAAAGGCTTGGGCTTTTGACTTCAATTACTCCCTCTTTATTTATTCGAACCTTAAAAATAAATACTTAAATTATCTAAAAAACTTCTATCAAAAAGCCCATACTTCAACACCTTTTGCTGCTTTCCCTACAGACCCTGCAATTCTTTGATTAACTGGTTCATAAGGATTTGAAGTTGAAACCAGAGTTTCTGTCATTCTAATAATTTTTTAAAGAATTTTCCAAAAATTAAAATTACCCATAACGTTCAAGAATTCGATGACCAGTCATTTGTTCAAACTTTTCAAAAACATTTGGAGTTAATTGTGCACTTCCACTAATAAAAACACGCATGTTCTTAACAGATTCTTTGTTTAATTCTTTATGTTCAACCATTCTACTAAAAAATAAAAAATGTTTTTTAAAAAATATTTAAAGAGAAAAATTTTTTCGAATTCCCATCATCTTAATGTTAGTATCAGACCCATAGCTAGAAATGGGAAAAGGGGAAAAAATTTGGAGTGGTAATGGAGAAAAAGTTAATTTCGGCCTAAAGCAAAGTTCTCAAAATTTTCGCCTGCGGCGTCGAAAATGAACCCCCGAAAATTTTTCATGGCTACAAACCTGGTTATTATATAATTTTATTTATTTTCCCCAATTTAAAATCCTTACGCATAGTATGTAGGTACCCCCATCATTACAGTTGATTTGGGTAAATAATTAATTGTTTCCTTTGCATCAAATTTTGGTAAAAATATACAACTCGATTTGGAGAATAAAGTACAGTTGAAACTTATAAACAATCCGTGAATATGGTAGAAAGGCAGAACATGTAAATTTATACTTAAAAATAAATTTAGTTTTTTTTTAATTTTAAAGAAAATTTTTTTCTTAAAAAAACTTGAGTAGTAGAACAAAGTCAGGTATAATAAGGATTAAATCTCTTCTTTAAAATCAGGGATTGCAGGAATTATGGAATCTATGTCAGATTTGATTTTTTTTATGTTTATGAGTAAAAATTTCTCGTTTAACAGTCTGACTTATCCAAAAGTTAAACGTATATTATTCAAAAGAATTAAAATAAATTAAAAAAAACTGACTCGTTTGAATGAAATCTCCAAATGTCTGTACATATTTGTCCATTTGCTGTCAGACCCGCATGTGTTACCATTGCCCCTTTTGGACGGCCTTTAAAAAATATTCATAGTTAGAATATTAAGAATTAAAAAAAACCAGTAGTCCCGCTTGTATAAAGAATACAAGCTACATCATCGGGCTTGGCTGATTCAACATCTAATAGAGGCTCGAATTTTGTAGAGTCCTATAAAAATTAATTTAGATGAGGGAAGGTTTATCAGTTAACTTTAACAAACCTTTGCTAATTGTTGTTCACACAAAACGTGTTTAACTGTTGAAGTATCACAAAAAGTTTTGTCTTCCTTCCGATTGAGAGTAACAATAAGTTTTGGTTTAGCATCCTTTAAGAAACAAAATTTTGAGTAAAAATTAAATTAAAATTTTCTTACATTAACAAAATGTTCAGTTTCTCTTTTTGTATAAGTTGGATTTAATGGAACATAAGTAGCCCCAAGCCGAAGTATGCCCAAATAAAGAGCTAAGGCGTCAGAAGTTTTTGAAGTTCGACAAAGGACTGTGTCACCTTTCTGTTAAAAGTCTTTATTTATTTGATTTTAATGGTCAAAATAATATTATGAGAACTAAAGGTCCCAAGACTACTTTTTGAAAGCCTTACCAAGGCTACATGAGAGTGAAATGTTTACTAAAAAAATTCACTCCCTCTCAGCAAAATTTTGTTCTAATCAACAGAGATCGAGATTTTTAAAAAGCCTTGGCCTGTTACTGGACTCTGGGTTTGATTTATTGACATGGGCCGGATCCTGAGTCTGTAGTCCAGGAAAAACCCAGGAAGTTCAAAAAATGCCTGGGCCTGGACTCTGGGTACAGGAAAAACCCAGGCCTTGGGTTTTTCCCAGCTCGACCTCTCTAATTACGACAACTAGAGTTGATTCAAGTTGCCAAAAGTTTGTTTATTTAACCCCTTCCCTTTCTTTATTTTTTAAATTTACCTGAATTCCAAATTGTTTACTTAAAATATTAGAATAACGTCCAGAAGCATTATTAACATCCTTATATGTCATATATTTTCCATTTTCCAAAAGCAACAATTTTTTATTAGAATATTCATAAGATTCAATTTTAGGAACAAAACCAGCAGTTTCCACAAAATTACTTGAAATTGGGCGAATTAATTTTTTAGAAAAAGTTTTTTTAATTAAAAATTTTGTAGTTTTTGAGTACAACATTTTGAAGAAAATAAATAAAATTATTTAGAAGAAAGAATTTTTAATATTTAATTTTAATGAGAAGAGAAACCAAAAAGAGAAAAATTAATTTATTGAATAATAAAAAAATCATCCGTTTTTCTTTTCTACATAAATTATAATCTTTTAAACGGGTACAGCCCAAAACGGCGCGCGGCCATAACGGCGCAAAGTCATAACATGCTGAAAAATGTCTGGCTCTTGTCAATTTTGGTACCAATCTCTCTATCTCGATTAGAGGAATCGTTTGATACTAAATCTGGTAAGATAAGGAAATCTTGAAGCAAGTTATGGCTTTGCGCCGTTATTGCCGCGCGCCGTTTTGGACGTGTCCCTTTTAAAAATTTTCTTTTTTTGGGTACGGCCCACTTAGTCGCAGGCCACTTACTTGCGAAGGTTCAGGTCGCTTCAAACTTTTCGGTCCTCATTTTTATCGGGCTGGCCCGACGGAGTTTTTTTCGGGCCAAAATTCGACTCGGTCTTTCGAACCGGGCCCAACCCTCTTTTTAGCCACTTCGCGACTAAGTGGCCTGCGACTAAGTGTCCGTGTCCCTTTTTTTATCAGTAAAATATCAAGCAAAGTAATCATAAAGAACCAAAAAATGTTTCAATAAAATTATTTTTTGATTAAAATTAATGTAATTTATTCTTATTTATCACGCGTTTCTTTTTTTCATTTTAATTAAAAATTCCATAAATTCAACTAAAAATTTTCTTAAATGTTTTTAAATTTCTCTCGCCAAACATTAAATAAATGTGCCAAAAAAACAAATTTAATTTTAATAAATTCCAAATATTTTTCTACAAAATTTAATGTTTGTCTTTATGTTTTTTAAATTCAAAAATCTTTTTTAGATCGATAAAGAATCCAAAAAACATGGAGGGGAATTGGTTGCTTCTGTCCTTAAAGTAATTTTTCTTTGTTTATTTTTCCAGTAGGGACACGCCCAAAACGGCGCTCGGCTTTAACGGCGCAAAGCCATAACTTGCTTTAAGATTTCTTAATCCTAACAGATTTAGTATCAAACGATTCCACTCAACGAGCTAAAGAGATTGGTACCAAAATTGACAAGGGCCAGACATTTTCCAGCAAGTTATGGCTTTGCGCCGTTATGGCCGCGCGCCGTTTTGGGCTGTACCCTTTCAGTAAATTATTAATATTTTCTTCTTTTTGGCTCATAATGTGAAAGAAATATTTACTTTGTGTGGAGGACATATTTCGCCGATACTTGTTAGTTCTGAACAACTTGGAATTAAAGTTTAAAATTTTCTAAGAATTTTATTCAAATTCCTTTAAAGATTTATGATACGAGACATGAAGTGAATGCTGTATTTGCAGCTGATGCAGGTTTAATTTTTTTAAAGGGAATTTTGACAGGTTTATTTAAGTTTGTCTTCTAAATAAATTTTTTTGGGGAATATTTTCAAAGGTTTTAGTGTTCATGCGTCATCTGTTTCCCTAAAAATTTTATATATAGACTTGTTTCACCGGAACCGTATCCAATTTGAGTCCGGTTCCCGGAACCAAAAAACACCGAAACTTTCCTGTGAAACTCTAAATAGACTACTTTCGGTAAGGATTTTATTTTCGAATAAATGATAACTTTAAAAAATAATTTAGTTGCTCGTCTTCGCCAACATATTGGCGTTGCTGCTGTAACTTCAGGACCAGGTTTTTTAAAAGTTTTCTTTATCTAAGAATCGTTAAGGTGTTACCAACACAATCACTTCCCTAAAAAATGCCCAATTGGCTGAATCGCCTGTTATTCTGTTGGCTGGTGCTGCTCCATCATTAATGAAAGGCAAAGGAGCACTACAGGACATTGATCAAATCCCAATAATTCAATCAATGTGTAAATTTACTGCAAGAATTATAAATGTTGGAGATATAGGTTTTTAATTATTTTTGGAGTAAAATTTAGAAAAAATTTTATTTTTCAAGTTCCAACACTTCGTGAGGCAATTTCTGTTTCTCAATCAGGCACTCCTGGGCCTGTATTTATTGAGTTCCCATTGGATGTTCTCCAATCCTATCAGGAAGTGCTTAGAGATGCCAGCCTTATAAAAAACCCCGATACATCAGAAAAGGCTAAATTAATTAAACTATCTAAATATTGTCTTATTCAATAGAGTTGACCTAAAGAGAATTACTTTTCGTTGTGTGTTTTTCACAACTTTTAATTTTCTTGGCTCAAACACTATTGACTTCCAAGATGCTTGGTCTTGAGTCTTGAATCAAGACTTTCTGTGTTTTTTTTTCTAGTCGCGAGTCTTGGAAGATTTTCGGTCTGGGAAGTTACTTCAAACACCTAGGCTCGTAGCCAGGATTTTTTTCGGGGGGGGGGGGCAAGATGGAATTCCTTCCTAAATACGGACCTGCAAACACCTGTCTAACTTCGAATTTGTCTTTTAAAAAACTCAAAAAAATTTTCAGCAAAGTTTCAACGAGTCTGTCTATCAACATATTTATCGTCAATTCCACAATGCTTGGTCTCATGAAGAATTTGGACCTTTACCTGTCACAATTCCGAAGCCAAACATTGCAGATATTACAAAAATTGCAGATATTCTTGAAAATGCAAAACGTCCACTTTTATTAATGGGAAGTCAATCTACTTTGCCTCCACTTAAAACTGAACAACTTGTTCAAGTTGTTAATGTATTATTTAATTTTTTAAAAATAAATCTTAAATTATTTATTTTAAGAATTTGGGTATTCCTACTTATTTGGGTGGAATGAGTCGTGGATTGTTAGGGGCAAATTCATCGTTACAGATGCGTCAAAATAGAAAGATTGCAATTAAAGAGGCCGATGTTATTCTTCTTGCAGGTTATATTTAGATATATTTATGTAATGTAAAGAATATCAGAAGGATAGGGAAAATGCTAGATTATTTCTGATCCTCTGTAATAAAAAAAGAAACGGATTTTGACATTGCTGCTAGCCAAGAGCGTAGCTAGGTAGGTGTCCGATGCTACGCCCTTGCTGCTACATAGCAGCGGACTCAATTCCTAATCGATTAAAAATCCATTTTTGGTAAATCCTTTGTAATGGACCATTCCTGGATTAACCCTCTCCTCCTGAAATATGCTAACATTAAAAAGAGAAAATTTTGGAAGAAAAATAATTAATAAATTCTCACTTGATCCATTGTTTCTTCGTTTTTTTTGAATTCAATTTTATAGGAGCTGTATGTGACTTCCGTCTAACCTATGGAAAGGGATTTTCACCCGAAACAAAAGTTATTTCAATAAATAGAAGTCAGGAACAAATGTTAAAGGTTAATTAATAATATTTAATTTTAGCATTAATTAATTTAGAATCACGGTGTTTTCTGGAATTCTGCAGCAACTATTCAAGCTGATGTAGGTTTGACTTTGTTAGAACTTCAAAAGCATATGAAGAAACGAAAATGGGAAGGTTTGGAAAATTGTAAAGAATGGATTGAAATGTTGAGGGAAATGGAAATTAAAAAAGAAGAAGACACTGCAAAAAGGTTGGCACAAAAACCTGATGATGGACATATGAACCCTCTTGTATTATTGACTGCAATGGATGAGGTTGTTTTTGAAATTTTTATTTTATAGAGTTTTTGTTAATGAAAATTTCGAATTTTTCCGTCAAAGCCTGTTCTAGTTTTAAATTTTGCTTGTACAAGTTCCATTTTTGGCGTAGTACCTCTAAAATTGAAACTAAATACTTAAGTGGCAAGTAAAGGCTACCCACAGATGTTAGAAATGAAATTTCTCGCCTACATACTTTCTCAATTTATAAATTTTAAAAAAAACTAGGCGTAACTATTTGTTTACTTAAATTGTTTAGGTAATTCCAAAAGATGCAATTTTGGTTGCAGATGGTGGCGATTTTGTTGGAAGGTTTTTTAAAATAAATTTATTTATTATTTTATAATTTTAGTGCTGCTTATATTGTTCGACCAGGAGGACCATTGCAATGGTAATAAATAACTAATTTAATTTGTCTGTCGGACTAATTTTATTAGGACTAACTTGTTAGGACTAATCTAATGTGAAAATGTCATAAATTGAAATTATTCTACTTTTTTGGCATTCTTCACTCTATTTATTAACCAACATTTATCTATTTATCTTTGTCCTTTTTTACATTCTTTAACTCATTTTTCTTTCAAGGCTCGATCCCGGCACTTTTGGCACATTGGGAGTGGGTGCTGGATTTGCACTTGGTGCAAAAGCTGTTTATCCCGAAAGAACCGTTGTTATAATTTATGGTGATGGATCTGCTGGGTAATTTTTAATTTTATTTTTTTATTTATAAATTTAAGTTATTCTTTAATGGAATTCGACACCTTTGTTCGCCATAAACTTCCAGTCGTTGGAATTATTGGAAATGATGCCTGTTGGACTCAAATTGCTAGAGAACAAGTGCCGCACTTTAAATCAGCTGTTGCTTGCGATTTGGACGTAAAAATAATTTTTAATATTTAATGAGCAGACTACCCATCTTAAAATTTTTTTGGTTTAGTCTATCTTCCCCCATGATTTACAAAAAATTTATTTAATAATATTTTTTTAATTTTAAACAGTATACTCATTATGAAGAAGCGGCAAAAGCATTAGGCACTCAATCATTGTTTTTGGACGGTGATATGGACGTCAAGCAAGTACGCGAAGCGTTGGCTCAGGTAATGGCTAGAAGTAGAGCAGAAAAACAATCTCTGGTTGTGAATGTACTTATTGGAAAGACAAATTTCCGTGAAGGGTCAATTAGTGTTTAATTATTAATTTTTGAGATAATTTAAATATATATTTATAATTTGTGAGTTACCCCAAACCAGTTTTTGTGGTCATTTTTCTGCACACATTTTTGTAAAGCATGGTCAGACTTCCCCTTTCCCTCTATTTCACTCAATTTTCCATGTGGCAATATTCTATGAGAATATTCAACAAAGAAAAGATTAATTTTTCTTTCCAATGTCACCAAATAGAAATTAACATTTGAATCAATACATTCTTATTTTTAAACTGGTTTGGGATAACTCGCAAGAACCTAAATTTTATTAAAATTGATATTTAATTTCGTTAAACATTGTGATTTAATTTCGCTAATAATTAGCATAAAGGGAGGTCTTCATTTTGTTAAAAAATTTTTTTGTTTTAATTTGACTTTTTAATAAACATTTTTAAATTTTTTTCTTTTCTTTTTTAAAGTTTTAATTTCTTTATAAATATTTAATTCGTTTTTACAACCATTTTTAATTATTTTCAGTATAACGTCTCATTTTCTCTTAAATTTACAGGCCAACTTTCTTTATTCCAGTTAAATTATTTTATAAGAATGAGCGAGGATCGAAAAATAATTGAATTCAAAGGAATTAAATATTATTTAGAGGTTTTTTATAATTTTATGTCTAAATTAAATGTTAAAAATTTTTATAGGAATGTCGGTGGTATCGATTGACTCCAATTATAAACGACAATGTGCTTGCTGACAACAATACTGAAACGCCTGTAATAAGCCTTCCACAAGAGAATCTATTGGATGTTTTCAAACTTCTTGACTTTGATCAATTATTATCTTTCCAAGAAACAAGCTTTTATTTCAAAAATATTATTGACAAATATGGGAAGGAATTGGCTAGGAAGAAATTTGCTAAACTTAAATTTGTATTTATTTATAAATTGTTTGGTACTATGCGTTTATACACTTATCTTTTCCGTCTCCTTACATAAGAATTTAAAAATGTTTAAGGAGAAATGATGGTAAGATTACTAATAGAATGGCTCCCTCCATTTAAATGACCCCCTTTAATAGAATTGTGATGATTGAAAGAATAAGGGCCGGCTATTTTATTAGAGAGATTTAAGTAATTTAAGACGATCTTTATTTACCTTGGCCATTTTGTAATGTTTTTGAAAAAAGCATAATCATGGAGGAGAAGATGTATAAAGCACCGACAAAATTCCCGAAATCGTGAATTTTGTTTTTATGTTGGTGCGATATTTGTATAAATGCATAGTACCAATTGATTTTAGTAATAATTATCATTTTTTAGTGTTTTATTTCTAACTTAGATGAATTCGTTAAAAAATACCCTGAACATAACTTTATTGAAATACCGCCTCGTCTTTATGACTTTGAATTGGGTGAACATCTTGAACAAAAGGTTTTTTTAATTTCAGCATTTCAATTAAACTCAAAAATTTTAGTGGAGACGTGGAATAGAAGAGTCAATTCCAATGTTTTTTACATCATTTCTGTATGATTTTGAATTGAATGAACCTATTGAACAAAGAGACGTGGACACCATTATTTGTGAATTGGTACAGAATTACAATGGGAAAAAAGGTTAGATATTAATAAGCTCGGTAATTCGGTTTTCACCCCCTTCTTTTTCTGATCATTTTTTCATTTTCCCTTCCCTTTCTTCCTTATTTTTCATGAGAAAATCGTCGAGCAGTGTCGAATGACACCAAAATCAAAAAAATCCGACTTCAGTTGACCGAGGTACAGACCTTTAAAAATTGAAAAACCATAGGACGAAACCCATAAGGACGAAAATTTATACAAATGATAACTCGTTCGAAAGAGCTCGTCGAGCTTAGTTGAAAGCCACCAAAATCAACGTGATTCGACAAGATTTGACACAGTTATGATACAGTTATGATACGGCGATTTATGTCATAACTTTGTCAAATCTTGACCAACCACTGTGATTTTAGTGTCATTCGACTCAACTCAACGGGCTTCGAAAGAGCTCGAATAAGAAGAGCTCGAATAAAAAGAATAGCTATTCTAGCTAGAATAGCTATTCTATAATAAGAATAGTATAATAAGAATAGCTCGAATAAGCTATCATTTGCACGAACATTTTTTATTCGAAAAAATCGCCCTTATGGTTTTTCAATTTTTAGGGGTCTGTATCTCGGTCAAATTAAGTCGGATTTTTCGATTTTGGTGTCAATCGACACGCTCGACTAATTACTCATGAAAAATAAGGGAGAAAGTAAAGGAAAAATGAAGAAATGGTTAGAAAATTAGGGGGGCGAAAACAGAAGAATTACCATAAGCTCTATTCGGAAAATAAAATTTCGAGTTTAAACAAAAAAAATTTTTTCTGGGAATTTTCAAACCATAACGAAAGTCATAATTACTGAAGCTGGGACTCACCATAGAATATCCATTTGAAGATGAAAGTTATATCATTTTTACTAGAGATCGGACATTTTTCGTTTAATAGGATTATATGGACGCCTGTGTTTTTTTCAGGACGGCTTTGTTGTCGCCCACTTTCTCTTTACATATAACGGAAAAAACCGGGGGTCAAGGATACTTTTGCCATGATATTTTTAATCATTTTTTTATTCAGAATTATATCATATAAAATTGCCAAAATTTCCACAAAATGTAGAACAAATGGCAATTGCTTGTTATTTATTCAAACTGCTTTTTAATTGTGTTTTTGAACATTTTAAACTTGATCATGTTCTATTTAATCCAAAAATGATTCAATTATTGCTTGATGAAACAACAAATCTACCTTTACAAATATATTCTAAACGGGCAAAAATATTTATTTACGAGAGTGTTCCTTTAAAATTTATTTTGAATCATCTGGTTTCTAAACAATTTGCCGTTGATATTGATGGAATGGAATTTAACGTGGAAGATATGGACACCTTATTCAAAATTTTAGCAGAAGGAGGAAAAAAATTTAAAAAAATTTCTTATACACGTCTTGACTCAAAATTTTACAATTATATTATTGAGGTTTGCACATTTTTAATTAAGTGTTTATTGGGGTATATTTTTAATAATAATGAGCTCAAAATGGACAAAATTACAGGCTTGATCGTTTTCAATAATAAAAATAAGGCTCATAATTTATTCAGTCCCCTAGGAAACTTTTTCTTTAGATTTTCGGATCTTTTAAGTCGTTCGAATTGAGCTCAATCGAATGACGCCGAAATTGATCAATGGAGACCATAATTTAAGAATTCTTGAAAAAAATTAGAAAATTTTTGTTTAAAAAATTTCCTTTAATTTTAGCAAATAGTCGAAACACCAAAAAACCTTTCAAAAATGGTAAAAAAAATTAAATTTCATGCTGTGTTTGGACCTCTAAATTCAAGTAAAGAAGCAAAAAATATTCATAAGGCTTTAAATTACAAAAAATTCATCAAACAATTCGAAACTACAAAATTCCAACTTGTCAATAAACACAATTCAAAAATTAAATTTTCTGTATACATTGAAGAAAGGGATGTGACATTAGATGATGATTTTTATATGCCAGTAGCTGATATTGTTATTAAAAGAATTTTTAATTGACTAATTTATTTATAGACAATTGTTGTGTAGGGTACAGCCCAAAACGGTGCGCGGCCATAACGGCGCAAAGCCTTACTTGCTAAAACATGTCTGGTCCTTGTCAATTTTGTACCAATCTCTTTAGCTCGTTGATTGGAATCGTTTGATCTGGGATTAAGAAATCTTGAAGCAAGTTGTGGCTTTGCGCCGTTATGGGGGCGTGCCGTTTTGGACGTGTTCCGGTAGGATAGTTTAATTTATTTTTTGCATTTTTTTAAAAAATTATGCTTTAATTTGACTTTTTTGATAAATATATATTTTTTTAAATTTTTTCCGATTTTTTAAAGTTATAATTTCTGCATACTTGTTATTTTTTAAAATTATTTTTAATAATTTTTAGTAAAACGTGGCCTATTAAATTTATAGGCCGAATTTATACTCATTATGAAGAAGCGGCAAAAGCATTAGGCACTCAATCATTATTTTTGGACGGTGATATGGACATCAAGCAAGTACGCGAGGTGTTGGCTCAGGTAATGGCTAGAAGTAGAGCAGAGAAACAATCTCTGGTTGTGAATGTACTTACCTATTGGAAAGACAAATTTCCGTGAAGGGTCAATTAGTGTTTAATGATTAATTTTTCGAGATAATTTTGATATATTTCTGATTAAAATTGTTATTTAATTTTGTTAAACATTGTGATTTAATTCTGCTAATAATTAGCATAAAGGGAAAGCATGTACAATCATTAAAATTTTATTTAAAAATTAAAAGGAATGATTTTTTAAAATTTATTAATTCATTAATTCCTTTCATCTTTCACTCATCATCTAAAAAAGGAAAATTATCTTTATTCTTTTTTTGTTTTATTAAACCTTAACAAATTCTTCATAGTTAATTTCTCCATCCCCATCAACGTCTACCTCATGAATCATTTCATCAACTTCTTGTTCACTAAATTGCATTCCCATATGTACCATAAAATAACGAAATTCCTTTAAAATAATTTTTATTTACAGTGCCGGAAAAAAAGATAGGACCAGAGGCTGTTAAATTTGTTTTTATCGATTATCTCTTTTCTATTAACTTTCAGAAAAAAAGTTTCAACACTAAAATTGTAGATCTTTAAATGGTCTTTAAAATGAGTATAAATATCAAGATAATTTACCCACAAAATTTTTTACAAAAAAATTTAAACGATACTACTTAATTTTTGTGGTGGAAAAAAAGATAGGACCAGACTAGAAATATCGACTTTTGTTCGGTCAAAAATTCTATAAAAATTTTTATGAACATTTCCATCGATACTAAGTAGAAAATTAAAAAGAGCGAAGTCTGTAACTTATTTCTTCACCGAGATCTCACATCTCGAAATTCATCGGAAAATTGGGGTACAGTACTTCAAAAAATATTTTAGCCCCCTAGAGCTTAAATTAAAAATTTTATTTTAGGCCTACCTGAAAGCCCATAAAATTTGCTACAAGAATATCTCACGTTCAAAATTTCCGTTAAAAAATTCATGGAGATACGGACCGGGAAATTGAGAAAGTTATCTTTTTTGGGGTATTTTGGGAGATTTTGTCACTTTTAATGTAAAGTGGACTAGGGTTAAACGGATATTTTTTTAGAAAGATTAATTTCCGGACTATTTTGTAGTAAATTTTATGGGCTTTCAGATAGGCATAAAATAAAAATTTTAATTTAAGCTCTAGGGGGTTAAAATATTTTTTTAAGTACTGTACCCCAATTTTCCGTTGCTTTTCGAGATGTGAGATCTCGGTGAAGAAATAAGTTACAGACTTCGCTCTTTTTAATTTTCTACTTAGTATCGATGGAAATGTTCATAAAAATTTTTATAGAATTTTTGACCGAACAAAAGTCGATATTTCTAGTCTGGTCCTATCTTTTTTTCCACCCCAAAAATTGAGTAGTATTTGTTTTTAATGTTTTGTAGTATTAATTGCTAATAAAGAAGGGAATATTTGTACTCATTTGATAGAGGATAAATTAATCAATAGTTTCTGACAAATTTTTTCTCTTAAAAGACTAAAATTCGAAAGATAATTTGAAGAAAGGAAAATGTGTGCGTCTGGTCCTATCTTTTTTTCCGGCACTGTAAGTTTGAATTATTGTAGTATTTTTGAAATTTCCTTCCTACAATATTCCTACATATAATCTCCAAGTTAAATTTAAATTAGATTTATTTTTAATTGTTTCGAACTTATCGGGAGCACGAAATTTTCTATTGAAGAAAAATTATTTTCTCCCAATACTTTAAATTTTGGATTAAATCATAACGATTTTCTAATAAATTAGGGCTGGACACAACCGATTATTAAGCAGTACCTCCGGCTTTCGGTTAATCCGAATTAAAAACCCCATTTTTGCTTTTAGTTAAGTATCAGTTTCATTTTCACTCAAAAATTTTCGATTCTTAAAATTTCATAGAAACGGTTACTTTTTGGCAAAAAATATCGAAATTTTCAATTTTAAAACCGTTCTTGTCCAACCCTAATTAAAATCCTTCATAGTATAATATTCCTCACTTGTGCTGTAATAACTCCATTTCCGTCCTTATCAAAAACTCGAAATGCTTCTCGTATCATTTCCGAATCTCTAAAAATTATTAAAATATTTTTTATTTTTTCAATTAGTTTTTTATACGTTTCTTTCATCATTCTTTTCATCATAACACAAAATTCCGGAAATTCAATTTGTCCATTCCCGTCAATATCTACCTCATTTATCATTTCAAGAATTTCTTGTTCTGTTGGATTTTGCCCTAAAGAACGCATTGCAACCCCCAATTCTTTTGTTGAAATTGTTCCATTCCCGTCCTTATCAAACATCATAAAAGCTTCTCTGAATTCATCAATTTCTTCTGGTGTTAACTATAAAATTATTATTAAGAAATGTGAATAATTTCTTTAATTATTACCTGTTTAATTATTTCCTCACTAAAAGCCATTAAAGAGGAACTTGTTTGTGGTTGATTAGTACCAAGAGCCATCATATGATCGTAAATCTGAAATAATATTTAGTTATTATATTTTTGAAGGTTAATTACTGAACAAATAAATATATTTATATATTAACAATTGTCAAGTGGAAGGAAAATACTTTAAAAAATATATGTGTTCAATTAGTTATTTTTTTTTGTAAATAATGAACACGTAGGTAAAATAGTTTATAAGTAATCCTTCGGAAATAAAAATATAAATCAAAAATTTATTTGTAGATACCATATTTTCTCGATTAATTTCAACCTTTCCTTGGCATGGGGAATTAATCGAGGAAAGGGAATTATTCGAGTTTAGGAATTTAAACGTGCAGTAGGGTATTTGGGTGTGGGGAATTATTGTTTCAACCCACCTCTAGCATGGGGAATTAATCGAGAGGTGGAATTATTCGAGAGAGGGGAATCATTCGAGCATATACGGTAGCTCTTAATTTGAAAATTGAGATAGTTTAGAGCTTTAACGGAATGAGATAGTTAAATTTGGTATCAGCAAGTTTTTATCCAGAAAAATTAAAAAAAACTTTATTTTTTAAAGTAATTCAAAAATAAATTTAAAAAGATTCTAAATAATTCTAATAATTTTTTTGCCATTTTTAGCAATACTTCAAGTAAAAATGAGGAGAAAATGAGAATAATATTCAAGTACTTCCTACACATTTAAATTCAAAAATAATTTAAGGAATCTAATTCTTATTTAAGTTTAGGGTATCTTTACTTAAATTGTTTTATTTTTTTAAATTAAAAGATTTTCACAGAAATAATAAAAAATATTTTTTTAATTATCCGTGGCCTGGAAAAATTTAAAAAATTAAAGGAATTTAAGGATCAATTCATAGATTTAAAATATTTTTTTTCTAAAATATTTTTGCTTAAAAATTTGTTACTCTCTCTCTCAAATATTATCTTTGATCCACAAAAATTCCCAATAAATTTTAAAATTCCCAGATGTTTTAAAATATATTTGAGGAATGTGGAAAAAAAGAGAAAATGGTCACATTAAGTTAAAAATAAAATATATTTATATTAAAAAGATTTTTGAGGAATTTAAGTAAAAAAGTGATTGAAACAGTTGGGGTGGGTTGAGATTAAATATACTAAAAGAAACAACTGTTTATTTTAACAAAATTATTTTATTATTTATATTAAATTTAAAAATGGTTTAAATATTTTTTTCTGAGAAAATAAAATAAATAAAATTTCTAAAAAATATTTTTAAAAAATAAATAAATTTATTTTTAAAAAAATATTTAAGAAAACTTGAGGAGAGATTATTTTAAAAAAGGTTAAAGTAAACGAGAAACTCTGAAAAAAAAGAAAAGAGAAATGATTTTCCACTTAAAGAAAATTTTTTAAATTAAAAAAAAAAAACTTTTATCTGTGATCTTTAAAAATTAAAAAAATAAAGAGGTGAAAGATTGAAAAGAATAAAATAACAGATTTTATTTTGTAAACATAAAATTGAAAATGAGAAGAAAAAATTTAAAATAAAATTTAAAAATTAAAATTAATTTATTTTATTAATTTTGGAATATTTTTAAAGAATGATAAAATTAAAAATATTAAAAACTTGACAAAAGTTAAGATCAAAATTATTTCCCATCTCCTTTAATCAGTAGTACACGTGTAATTATTAAAACTATCCCAATGTATCAGACCTAAAAACACTCTCTTTACTAATCACATTAATTCTTAAGTTATTCAACTCTGTTCGATGAGCTCTTAAAATGATCTTAAAAACCTTTTTAGATTTTAAATAAAAATCTTGTAATGAATGCTTTAAATGTTTATGTTGTTTATTAGCAATATTTAACAAAGGTTCAAAAATATTTAAATAAAAAATAAATTTATTATAATTTTGTAACATTATTTGCAATAAATAAAATTATATTTTTTTCAAATTTTTAAATAAAAATATTTTAACATAAACATTTCACGCATCAAGAGGTTATTTAAAACAAACAAATATTAATCTAACAAAAAAATTTAATTTCTCTCATCAAGA